TAGATAGCCCAAGCTACCCACCCGTTACAGGGAGGCTAACCGGCAGAAGACTTTCCAAGCAGAGCTCAAAGCCTTAAAGGCAGCTGGGATTTAGAACCACTTCATACCAGCTTTGGATGGCACAACTGCGCAGAGGCTGAGGCAGCCGATGCCCAGGAATCCCACTGCCTGGAGCCCAGCTGGGAAGCACACTGGAGTATTTGCTCCTTAGACAAGCAGAGCAGACACAGCCACAAAGGCCTCTTCACTCAGGATTGTTATTTACATTCCAACAAGCAGAGCCCCAAGTTCGTCGGTCGTGTACAATCAGTGTTTGGCTACTGGGTGGAGGAAACTGGAGGCAGCTGGTGACAAAGTGGGAGAGGTAAACTGTTTGCTAGTAAAAAGCTGGGAAGTTTCAACAACAATAAAAAGTTTTTAAAAAGAAAGATCAGAAGGAGTGAGAATAAGGGTCAATACTAAGATGAGGACTGGCAAGGGAGTATGTCTATTTTAAGGAGAAAGCAGCATGATGGAAAGCATAAAAACATGCACAGTCCTCTTCAGAGGATAGGAGAGAAAGAAAAGATGCTGCCTGTGATTGAATCAGCGCTTCATCTAGGGAGCAGAACAAAATTTAGGGGCTTGCAAGGAATACAGCTAATAGATCACCTGGGCATGTGCTATGGAAGAGATTACAGGAAAGTAAAGTGGATTTCCCAGTGGAAGTAATTATAATTTCAGCACTTCATATGCTATGCAGTTTTACCCAAGGTCCAAAGAATACTTAATTTCATTGCTTATCACGGCCACCTTCTTTCCTCAGCACAGAATACCTCTTTCTCTCCCAGCCACCTTCAGACACAACTGTTGGTCATCAGGGCATCTTAAGTTCTGTCACCAAAAGCAGAGCGCTACATATGAGGAAATACAATAAATATACCCCTGGCTCTCCTTGTAGATTTTGCTACCAGTGACTGCTGGCTTACTGAAAAAAAAATCCTTCCTAGGCTCCTGTCAGATGGGGCCTGTGACAAGTTCCTAGTATTACTGAACCTATAATTGGCAGCCTCGCAACGGCTGTTGAGACAGGTACACAGACCACAGACACGAGCTCTGAAGGAAGGACAGGTTCTCTAGGTGTGAAAGCAGAGGAGCAACAGACTCCTAAGTACGAATACTCGCTTTACTGTCAGTTTATAGCTGAAGTCATCTCTCTCCACACACGTTAGCTCCCCACCCTTACAACAGCTACAGCTAACCACCCTGCCACATCACTGTGCAGGCAGTGCTTATAAATGACCGCTCCAGGACAGAACAAAATTCTGGTCTTCAATGTAGACACAAGTTCAAGCGAAGACTATACATCCCACTTGCACATTTACAGAGACCTAAGTGGGCAAGCAGAATATCTACACCATAAAATTCTTGGGCAGCTTCCTTACATTACATATATTTGAACTGTTTAACGTTTTTTTTTTCTCATTGACATGAATTGGTAGGAATTGAAACAGAAATGCTTTATCACAAATAGTCACTTGCAGTAACATATTCTCAGACCTCAGCAGTCAGGATTCACAAGCAGACTCCTTCCCCCCCCGGGCCTAATGGGACTACTTTGTTCCTGCAACACATCCGTGCTCACCTGTAAAGAAGAGTAGAGATGGACACACTGTCTGAGGAAGGAGAACCGTCTTTATTTTAAGAAAGGTGGGTAAGAGAGAGAAGAAATCATCACTTTTTTAAAAAGTGAATGAAAATTCCCATCTGCCACTCAGACCCTAATTGCCACTACTATCACTCAGCCAATAAACCTTTTTAGTCCTTGTAAGGCAGATTCCAGCTAACCCTTGCTTTTCCATGCAGGCAATAGAGGCTAACCAAAGTCTTGATGTGAACAGAAGGAACCTGGAGATGCTCTGCACCACACTGTGCTCAGATGGGCCAGAATCTGGCTATCAACCAGTTCAACTCGTATTCATGCATATGCAGGTCAGCTGTTACCGGCAGAAGTTCTTAAAGCAAACAAATCACTTAAAATTTCCCAAGTATCATGTCCTAGTGCCCAAACCGAACCACGTATTTAGATGTTATAGATGCTAATTTAAGGACAGAAGCAAGGCAGACCTTCTGTTGTTACTTCAAAACAACAGTAAACCCTAGCAGTGGTCTCAAACTTGAATTATGTATATGGTCTCAAGATGAACAGCTTTATTTCTTCTCAGAATGTTTGCATATGAGCATTTTTTAAAAAAAACTAAAAATAAAAGACATGTTTTGCTGAAGCTAAAAATGCATTTGCAAAGATGTAATTGTTTCTGGATTATTTCCAGATTCGAAAGGCTTATATGAGCAATGCTTCAATTTGGCTTCAGAAGTTCCCTATAAGATGGACAAATGCTAAACTGCTCTTAAAGATGGCAAAGAGATCCAGCAACACGTCACACACAGCTTGATCAAGGCCAAGCATCAAGTCAACGGTAGAGCTGAGTCCTGCAGCATGGTCTTCTGTTATCAACCACAAAGCTCATTTCCTTTTTCCATTAGTAAAATGTGGGCTGATACTGTAACCTTCCCTCTTCTGTAGAACAGGAATAATTACACTAGTTTGAAGTCTTCATACTGGTAAGTTAAACATACATACAAATTCTACCAAATTAAATTTAAAACCAAGACTGTTTGGTTAGATTATGTAAACAATATGCTCTAAGACTTGCTGAGTTCTGAGAACTGAAACCACAGACAGCCAAAATACAGCTGCACACAGGCAGATACGGCATGTCTGCTAATATTGGAAACTTTATCATGCTGCAGCAAGTTTAACCTCTGATTAGTATGTGCATAGAAGAAATACAGACTGAATGCACTGGAACAAAAACAAAAAACCACTCCAAGGTTGTAAGTTATGAAAGCCAAGGGCACTCAGTTATTTTATGAAGCACTTGAAAATATTTATTAGTTGTACTCCTGTGGCATCTAAGAGCCCCAAGCATTGGCCAACGCTCATCTGTGCTCATCCTTGCAAAAATACAAAACAAAAGATAAACCATAGACTGCTGTAGGCTGTAGCTAAGGGCTTCATACAAAGCAGGGTACTGTCAAGTGCCAAACCCCCTGACTTTTAAGCATTTACATCTAAAGCCCAGAGCTCAGTTCCTCGGCTAGATGTCAAGTTTGTTTGATTCACCTGCTGAGCTGGAGGCCGCCTGGAGTTCACTGGTATCAACCACTCGGACCAAGGCTGTGCCTGAACTCCCTCTCCGCCCTGTAGTTCGGGCATTTGAACCAAGACTGCAAGGGAGCCACATCTGTCAATTTGGGTGACAGATCCCGGAGCCCAGATTCACTAAAGCCAGAGAGGATTCAGAGGTCTGCACTCAGCATCCTCTCTCAGAAGCCAGAACAGTATGCAAGAAAGACCTTGAGATCCGTGGAGCAAGGAAGCTCCGCACGCGGCGACGCGCCTCTCCAGCTTAATGCTTAGAACATGCAGGAAGGGAGTCTTGGGTTCCAGTCTGGCCTTTAAGGGTTGTTTCTGCTTTCAACATGTAACTCAGATGCAAAAATATACAAATGATCCATAAAACAAAAAATCACATTGCCCAAACGAGTATCTTAACTAACAAGTTATTGAGTTGGGTTGACTCCTGCTTGTTTTCATTCTGGTCTTGAGACTCTTGCGTTTCAAACGTAAACAGAAGGCTGAATTTCTCGTGCCCATTTCTTTCAAGTGCCTACTAGTTCAGGCAATCAGGGCTCACCGTGTTCGTGGCTTTCACTAAAAGAGTTGGAATAAATATTTATTTTTAGGACCCAGTCCTTTCTTTGGATCTGGTTGCAAGTGTCACACGCTGGAACGGTGACATAGTGAAATTTGTGTAAGTCACATACACCATCTTAAAAAAAACACATAGCTGCTCATTGTCTTTAAAATTTATTTACATTTTTCTACAGTTGTATTGATAGTCAAAGGAGCTTGTCTGCTTTTCGCAGCGCATATTGCTATGTTTAAGAAGCGCTCTTACAAATTCTCAATCTGACACCTCAAATAAAACACTTGAGTCACAAGCCCCCCGACCCCCAAAGTTGTTCATCCTTCTATTTACTCCTCCAGCCCACTAAAATGCCAGCGTATTACTCTCTGCCAATTCCTCATAACTTAAATATTAAAATAACTGCTCATGAGCTAAGGAGCAGGTGGTGGTACTGCCATGTCACCGCTTTCAATTTCAGGCTGCCTCGCTCAGAAACGCACCTTAACTTTTCTGCCTTCCCGCAGCTCTGCAGCGGAGCCAGCCCTGCCCGGCAGAGGGGCCGCCAGCCGCCCCGCCCCGCCTCCCACGCCAGCACCCCCAAAACCCACAGCACACACAACCTCCTCACCCCCCGCGCGCCGCCGAAACCCTGGCGCGGTTTTTCACCGGAGGCTTTTTTTTTTTTTTTTTTTTTTCTTTTTTTTTTCTTTTTTGTTAATCCGGCTGGGGAACGCAATCGTCCCCGGTGCTGCAGAAGTACTCAAAACGCCCCGTGTGCCGCGGCACGCACCGAAGGGCACGCCCGGCACCCTGCGGCCGCCTGCCCGCCCGGCGCAAAACCCGCGCAGCACGCCCGCGCCGAGCTGCGATGCGCGGAGCCGGTCCTGCCCCGCGGGGGCCGCGGCAGGGGACGCCCGTCAGCAGGGCGAGGTGGTCCCCGGACACCCGCGGCCGCCCAACCCCCGAGGCGGGAGCTCCCGGTAACGTGGAGCGGCCGCGGAGGGGAGCCGGGGGGGCCGCGGGGCTCCCCTCGCCCCCCGCCCCACACAAAGGCACGGCGGGGCGGCGAGCCGGGTCCCCCCGAGCCTCCCCCGTCCCGGCTTCCCCCGGGCAGGGGCATCACCGCCCCCCCCCCCCCCGGGGAGAGCCCGAGAGGGGCGCGGGGGCTGCCGGCGGGGCCGGGACGGCGAAGCGCTCTGCAGACAGGTAGCTCCCTGCTAAAAATGGAAGGTGGGGAGGAATGCGGCGCTCGCCGGAGAAACTTACCGGAGGAAACCGACGAGCCGGACAAACTGGAGTTACTGGATGCGGCCATGGTCCCTCCTGCGAGCCCCTTAGCTGCGAGCCCCGCGTCGGCCCCCGCTGCTGTCCGGCCGCCGCTGCCGCCAGCCCATCGCAAAGTGCCGGGGCCGCCGCCGCCGCCGCCGCCGCCGCAGCCCGCGCTCGGCCCCCGCGCCGCCGGGGAGCGGGAGGCGGCGGCGCCCGCTGAGGCGCTGCCGGCCGCTCTCCGGGGCTGGGCGAAGACGCTCGGCAGGTCAGGGGGGAAAGGCCCCGCGGCGCTTCCAGTGCCTCTCTCCGCCTGAGAAGCAGGGCTTACCTTGTGGCGGGGACGGGAGAGCCGCCCTGCCAGCGCCTTCCCTCGCCTCCTCCCTTCCCTTCCCGTCCCTTCCCTTCCCCGCCTCCTCGCGGGCAGCGCTGACAGCCCCGCCGGGGACACCCGCCGCCGCCGCTCCCCTCACGCACACAAAGGAAGCGGCGGCGCTGCCGGCCGGGCTGCCGGCCCCCGGCTGAGCGGGCAGGGTGGGTCCCGGGCAGCCGAGCCCCGGGCGGCGAGGCGGCCCCGCCGAGCGGCGCCCAAGCCCCTTCCCGGCCGCCGCCGCCGCCGCCGCCTGGCACGGGGCTGGCGGCCAGCGCCGCTCCCGCCATGTGCCGCCGCCCGGCCCGGCCCGGCCCGGCAGCGCCTGTTGAGCGCCCCGGCCCGGCGCCCCCCTCGGCGGGGCCGCAGCGTGGGCTCCCCCCGACACCCCCCCACACACACACACACCCGCCCCGGGCCGCCGGAGCCCCCCGCGACCCCCCGCTCCAGCCGGAGCTGCGCACCTAGCGCAGGGCTACCGCTCCCTCCCGCCCTTTGTCCTCCGCGGGTTGCCCTCCGTTCCCGCAGCTCTCCTCCTCCCGCCTGACACGCTCCCACCCTCACTTCCCGACCCCCCCCCCCCCCCTTTTTGTTTTTTTTTTCCCCTCTCTCCTGGCATCCCTTTTCTTAAAAAAAAAAAAAAAAAAACGTGCCAGCACCGACACCGGGAGCTCCCTGCCAGGTGCGCGGTAGGGGCCGCGGGCCCTCTGGGGCCCCGGCCCGGCCACATTTGGGGGCTGCCCCCCCCCACCCCGGTGCCCGGGGGCTCCGGGGGGGACACGGGGGTGACCCCGCCGGGCCGGCTGCCAGCTGCGCAAAGGGGGCACAGCGGGTCTGTGACCCACCGGCCTGGGCCGCTGCCCTGCGTCTTCACGGGCAAATGGGAAGAAGAGCCAAGAAAGCACCACTTGGAGGCTTCCTCCCGTTGGCTGCCCTTCGTGCTTCCCTCGCAGCGCTTCACCGGCAGCCACAGCTTCCAGCTCATTTTTATAAAGCAAGGGGAAGGCTGCTGGAAGGTGGGCAGCTGCCCTGCGGCCCTCAAAAGCCCGGCGGCATGGCAAAGCCTTGCGGGCGCGGGATCTGTGAGAAGCCTACAGCCCCTCTGCCTTGACGGTGATTTACCAAAGCTTCCCACCTTTCGTTAGGGGGAGAGCCTGCAACGCGGAGTTGCTTCGGGAACCGAGCGGGGAAGCTCGTCAAAGTTTCTTTGCCAAACGGAGCCTCACCCACCCCGCCACGCAGCCTCCCGAAGGAGGGTGCAACCCGCCGGCCCTCCCCGCAACCCCCCGCACAGCCGCTCCCCCCTTCTCCCTGACCCAAAATACAACTCGGACTCCCCAGGCCCCTACAGTCGGTTCTCATTATTATTATTTTTTTTTTTTTTTTTCCTCGGGAAAACAAGGTACCGCCGCCCCCTCTAGCGGCAGAGACCCGGGGCGCAGCCGGCCCCGCCGGCGGGCTCAGGGACGAGCCCGGGGCCAGCTCGCTTTTCCAGGTTTTCTTCTGTAATGACTGACGGCTTCCTTCGTATGAGGGGGAACGAAGTTTTAAACCGAGCTTTAGCACTGAATCTTTTTGATCTGCAAATTGCCATGTGACAGGCATAAAAACAGGGCGCGCGCGCGCGCGCGTGTGTGTGTGTGTCACCGCTTTTGGCCTTCCACCAAATATTTCGTGTCACACATTTTAAAGACTGAATGATCAGGACGAAATGAGAAAAGCAGAAAGTTCTTTTATCATCTGGGTTAAGTCATAAAAGCAGGCTGATACCTGGGATGTAGGAAAATACTGTAGTAATATAGTAAACATCAAGACTGTAAGAGTAAATTTTCCACTTGCAGAGTATGTGATGGGTTGAAGTGGTATTTGCTTGTCTCCAACACATTTGAGTTTTCTGCTTCTCCTGCTACATCTTTATTTCTGTATTTGTCTCCTTGTAGTCTGTTATATGTCTTCATTTTTCCCTCCATAATCTAGTGCTGCTGTGCCCTGATGTCTCTCCAGCAACTGTCAGAAACCTGGCTCTCATGATTGGTGAAATACAGTGGTGTTAAAAACACTAGCAAAATCTGCAGGGAAAGAGATAAAACCCCCTCACTCTGCTGAGACTTTGCAGACAGAAAAGAATTCTCATAATTAATTGTAAATTATCTTTCCAGGCATAAATCTGGATAAAGCAATAGAGGAATTTCTTCTGAGAATGACTGCTCCAGGTACTACAGTAATTGCAAATGAAGTATTTTCTGTCTAAAGTCAGTGAGTCTGAACATGTCTGGTTATGAACATGTGTACCTTTGAAGGACAAGCAGCTGTTGATAATCTTTGTGATAATTGCAGGTATGAGGTTATATACTCTCGATTTCCACAACATTGAAAGGTAAATTAATAAAGTTAAGTGAAATGTGCTATAGATTAACAGAAACTCACATTTCAAGGCAGGATGGCCTTTTTCTTGAGAGTAGCAAGGAATGTAAAAGCCATTAAATTAGAGGGGAAATTACTAGATCAAAGGGAAAGCAAATTTAAAAGAAACAAAAGTAGCCTTGTCATGTGTAAGAAGTGCAAAGTGAAGACAATGCAATCAAACCTCAGCTCTATTTTATAGAAACTGTGAACAGATTCTGTCCTAATCTAGCCTGTGCAGAGCCCAGATTTAACCATTACTAATAGTGGAAATACTCAGATACCAAGAATAAACTTTAAACTGTAAACTAGATACTCTCTTTAATGCAGACTATTCTTGGGCTTTCCACAAGTGTATGCTTCCTCTAAGGCTGATAAAAATCTTCCACTTCACACTCCCTATGGAACTAAATGTAGTGCCTGCTTGCATGATATCTGTACTTGTATGTGAGGTCCCAGCTTCCAAAGGTTTTGAGGAAACCAACAAAATCACATCTCACTATGTATGACCTCAGAAACCCTCCATGGATGGACACTGCCATTGGCATTAACAGTGACTTGCAAAGGAAAAATACCAAACTGTATGCTTTGTATTACACATGAGAAAGATCTGAAAACTTTTCTGGTTTTCATTCCCGGGGAAGATTTCTGGAAGATTTCCTTGCTTCTAGATTGGTTTAATGCAGTTTTTACTGACAGAGTTTCAATGTTTGTGTTCTTAGGCCTTTTTTTTTTTTTTTTTTTTTCAATGTAGAGACCATGGAGTTTGTCAAAGAACAAAGATGTAACAAACCAGTCCTCAGTCCATACCTAAATTCCACAGAAGTGACTGCCTGTCTCATGCTAAAGCCCAGCTAACAACACAGTATTTGAAATACCCAAAAGCATTGCTGCTTGTTTCCAAAGAAATCTATGAAAATATCTAAAATGTTTCTCCAAACTTTCAGTTTATTAGGTTATTTCCGTACCCTAATTATCCACTCTGATACTACTGCATGGTAGGGTTCCTATTCGAGCTGGATCTTACACACATTTTGTTCTCCAGTAATCAAAAATTAGTAAATACCATGGAATTACAGCAAACAATAAGCCTTACAGCCCAAGACATATTGAACCCAACAGAAAACTAAGTTAAATTAGATTTGGAAGTAATGCTCTTTCACGGCGTAATCCTGAACCTGTGGATGTGTAGGTACGTGCGCTGTCACATGAACTCTGGTGAAATGACGTATTTTGGTAAAATTATAGGTGTGAGCAGGATGAGGACCTGTATTTGGAGAGCCGTCGGTGCAAACCATAGGGACCTTGACAGGTGAGGACATGTCTGTGCTGCTTTTGTGCTATGGAGTGGGCTCTGGAGTGGCCTTGGCTCCCCAGCCAACTGATATATACTGGTTTGTTTGTGTCCATATTTCAAAACAAAGGCTCTGTGGCGCGGACAGGCCACCTGTCCACTGCACAGTCATTAGTATCATAGCTAAGTTGTAATGACTTTGTGATGGCAAGGCAAATCCTAGCTGATAAATAGGTTTTTATGTTCCCATGCGATAAAAGCAAGCAGAAAGTCACCCATCCCCCAGACAGCAGGATGAAATTCTAGAAATAACAAATAAAGGAAAGAAGGCAGAACTGTGTTTTCAAGAAGCGCAGATCAAGAAGCCAGATTTTCCCCTTTCGACCAAATTGCTTGTTGAATATCTAAGTATCCACACGTATTTAACATCCTGGTTTCCTCTCATTCAACTTTAGACATAGTAGACAATTTCAGTGTGGAGGCAGTTTAGGAGTCTGCTTAGAACTTCTGTCATTTTCCTGACTTGGCAGAATGCTTCCTGCTGCAGAAATAGAGATCTGAAATACAAGTACAGATAAAAAAAAAAAAAAAATAGGTAGGTCACTAGATAGGGCCTGTAGCAACCTGATTCTCTGCATCAGCCTGGCTTACTCAGTCTGAAAGAAATGCATCCAGGGCAGACAACCATTTATATCACTATTGTCTACCTGTTGAAGTCTCCATTATGCAGGAGCCATTTCATAAGAGCTCTCCTAAAAGAATTTGGCCTGAAATCAGTGCATCTTGAGTGTCCTCAGCTGTAAGCCCTCCCCATCCAAGAATTCAGCCAAGCTTCATGTTGACTCCTAGCAGCCAGGCCTCTGTCGATGGCTGCGGTACAATCCTTAAAGCCCTCCTGGTTTTGCAGTCATGGCATCTCAGATTATGTTTATGGAATCTGGCATAATCCTCTACACCTGACTGCTGGGTTATTACGGCAGAGTAGCAGTGGCTTACTGTGCGCCATAGACCTGCACCTGGCGGGGAGGACAGGAGTTTGAAACCTAGTTAACGGATTTATTTCAGGATGAAAACTGGCAGTTATTATTTCAGTGTGAGTGCAGATAGCTTGGCCAAAAAAATGGGGTTTAATTAATTGTGCAAATTAGAGGAAAGTAAAATGTTTGGCCCACTGCTTTGATTATGTAATAGGTAAAGAAATATTAATGTTTTGCACAAGACAGCAAGACATATGACACAAAGATTTAGTGTTGTCAAAGACCTGAAATGCTAATCCTTCCTTTGATGTTTATATTGCTTAGCTGGAAAGGGAGGAAATGCATTATT